TCTCTCCCACCTTCAATACCACGACTGAGGTGCCCTTGAGCAAGGCACTGAACCCCCAACTGCTCCCCGGGCGCCGCAGCATAAATGGCTGCCCACTGCTCCGGGTGTGTGTTCACGGTGTGTGTGTGTTCACTACTGTGTGTGTGCACTTTGGATGGGATAAATGCAGAGCACTAATTCCGAGTATGGTATTCCGATACTTGGCCACATGTCACTTCACTTTCAAAAGATGATAATACAGGCAGACAGGCCAGACAGAACACAAAACACACAGTTGTGTATGTTCATGTATGTTTACCTCACAACTGAACTCCATTTCAGCATCCATGGTGCTGACTTTGACTTTAAAAGTCTTTGCTTGCTTCTTTTTTAGACCCAAAATCGACATTGTGACTTCTTAAGCACCTGAAAATAAAGAATTACTGTTAAAGTTGTAAAAAAAATGTTTACACATTTTAAAGTAAACATTTATTCATAAAAGCATTTGTGCAGCAGAGGAAATATACTCCACAAATTAAAAATAAATAAAGGGAGAACAATTCATAGTTTTAAATAAATATTTATAAGATATATATTTTAAAAATATGTAAAATAGTTAATTAAATACTTCACCTCCTTTGCATTGTCATAAGTGCAGCATGTATCTATCTATACTAAGTGCTAACGTTACTTTCACAATTCACATGGCAGATGCATGGAGTCAGACAACCACAGGTAGGTCGCATACACGCTAATCATTATTTACATACAATGCTGTAGATTAAAGACTTCTATTAATTTTCAAGGAAAACATGAACAGTTTTCATCTTTTTGAAAACATCACAGTCTGCCATGTTATAGCGAGCGAGCAGTAAGTATACGACTTAACAAAGGTTGAGAATCTTTTTTTTTAAACCCAACATAAAACATAAAGCTAACGTATTTTCTCCGTTTGAACCGGCGAAATGTCACATTAAACTGTAAAGAAAATATCTGCAAATATTTCTTGAAAGATTTAGGAATGAAACAAGCTAAATATCAATCAGTTACCTTGAATAGGTTATGTGCTGAAACAGGCCCGATCCACGGCGAGGAGTTTCCAGTCTCTCCGCTAAACCACAACAATGCAAACCGGATTTGGTTTGTTCCCCTACATGGACATCACTATAAAGCAGTCGAAAAGTGTTTAAAACTCTTTAAAAGCGTCCATTTTCTTATTAAACCATCAGCTGGTTGGTTGTGGAATATAAATCTGATGTTATCTTGGGTAGAATGTGTTGGATAGGGAGTTTGGAATACTTTGTTGTTGATTTTCTTTGCCGCCCTCTACTGGAAAGACGAAGAATAAGAATTTATCAATTTATTATAAAAAAAGTTATTTTTTAATAAAATAGTGATTTATGTGCACCCTTTCAATGAAATAACATTTGAATAAGAGACTAATGTTTAAGTACATTTTTATCACATTTTTACTGTAGTTTATAAATGACATGAGTTTCATATATTTGCATGTAGATGTGTATTTACAAGTGCATACATGCATGATTTTATCCAAATGCAATCTGCAGTACATCTGTATGTGTACATATATCTTTTATATAAACTTCATATAAATATATGGACCTGTAAAGAGGTCATAAAAATATTCTGTAAGGAATTGCCCTAAATGACACCTGGATCTGTGTAATTTTTCATAAAGGAATGGCAAACAGCAGTCGGACCTTTTCTGACGTGAGAAATGTGATCCTGTCGGCCCATAAAAACACAGGGGCCCAAGATAAGGTTGGCTTCTATGATACCTGGGCTGAAAACTATGAGCAGGTAAACTTTAGGCACCAGTACTTTTCCCAGCACTTTTTCCAGTAAAACTATTTTCATCTGTAATTTGCTTTCTCAGGATGTAGCGCTGCTGGATTACCGTGCCCCCTTGTTGGCAGCTGAGTGTGTGAGCTCATTTTTCAGAGGTGACAGAGAGAAGGCCGCTGTCCTGGATGTGGCCTGTGGAACAGGCCTAGTCTCTGCACATGTAAGCATTGCTTTATTTGAATTCTAGTGGGCACAAGACAACATGATAAACCTGGTAAAGCAAAGAGTGATATATATTTTTTTCTCAATCCCATTTGTTTGAGGAAAGCTGAAGAAAATGGGGTTTCGTCATTTTGTTGGAATAGATGGAAGTTTGAAGATGCTGGAGTTGGCAAAGAAAACTGGACTTTATCAGCAGCTTACGCAATACCTGCTCGGTCAAGATGAAGTTCCTGTTAAATCTGGTAACCATGCTGTGGACTTTAATGCTTTTACTGTCAAAATGTAATCTGTATTTTCTTATCAGAAATGCCTGTTTGGATGTCATGTTGCAATTTCAGACTGTTGTAATAAAGATAACCAGTTAAGATAAACCAGATAAACCATATCTTTGTTGAAAAGAACTCGCTAGGTCAGTAGGACATTCTGCACATGAAGAATTCACATTTTGATTCACCCATGTTTTAGGTGTTATAACTAATAACCTGTATCATAAGACATGCCTTTTTTCTCCTTTGTCTCAGAAACATATGATATTGTTATAATTGTTGGAGCTCTAAGCGTTGGGCAGGTGCCTTTAACAGTCATCAGAGAACTCTGGGATGCTACAAAACCAGGTAACTTGTAAATTTCACAGCTGCATCCGAAAGCTGAAAAATGCTGCCTCTGCAGGCCATATACAGAGACAGGAAGGCAACAAGGCACATCTAAATACAATGATCCTATCACATTTTGCATGTATTCATCACTGCCTGTGATATCCCACAATCCTGTGGGTCCAATTCCATGACAATTTAGCAGTCTGAAAGTTGTCGTTGGAGGTCAGTTTGTGTGTAAATGTATGTTTTTCAACAACTTTTTCCACTTTTGATGTCATTTCTAGCGAGAAATTTGTATTGTAGTAACTAAATATTTGCTTAGTTATCACAAAAGCTCTCCTTAATTAGTTGTAAATAATTAAACTATTATGCTGTCTCAGAGGCCCATGCAAAATCAGTTTCTTGCACAAATCACTGCAGTCAGCTGCCTAAGCTTTCAGACAGCCCACAGTGTTACTATTCAAGAACTTTGTGGTTTTATTAATGTGATGTCATTGTTGTACTTTTGGATGCATACAGAACATGTACATTTCAGATATTTTCCTAAACTCCATCATTCTCTATAACAGGTGGCTATGTGTGCATGACTACAAGAGGGAACCCTGATAACCGGAAGTACAAGGCTGAGCTGGAGCAAATGATCAGAGCACTTGAAGAAGAGCAGAAATGGAGCCGTGTGACTGTAGTTGAGGTGGAGGAGTGGGAGAAGGCCGTTTCAGAACAGGACAGCGGGTACATTCCAGGCGCCATTTATTTGTATCAGAAAGGTTTTAAATGCATTCCATGATTTTAGGACCACACAAGGGAAACCCAATGACCAAATGTGCTCAATAATCCATGCAGCTATTCTAAATAGTTCTTATTCCACCAGCAGGTGGTGGTATTTTTTCAGAAATTATAGTATCACTTGTTTTGAAAATACAAGTAATACAATTTTTTTTCTGCCAGAGAAGTGCCTGACAAGAGATAAGCTTAAACATGATCTATTTGTTTGTTTTGGCACCAAATTATTTCACCTGGCACTGGTACACAGTGCAGCCATTTGAAAAACTTTAAGGTTTTTGTTCAAGTAAGGTCCATGAACCTAAAGGATTTTGTGAGAAAATGTCTAAGGTGTGTGGTTACAAATCTACCATTCCCCAGTTACATCTAACCTTTCGTTTGCCACTCCTCGATACTCCGACCGCTAAACTTTTGAAACTGCTATTTCCGCTGGTGTCATATGACAAAAAATAAAGCACACAAACAGATTATGGAGTGTGTACTATGAATAAGATTATTTAACAAGAAAATTTCCAGTTTAAAAGGTTGTTGTTGAAATCCAGTGTTAAAATTGCATTATACTGTATGTGATTAAATAAACATCAATACCTAACAGCGACCATTAAAATACATTTGATTTTGTGTCAGTTAGATATATATATAAGTAATGTGTAAGTAAATTAACACATTCCAAAAGAACACAGTGTAGATATAAAATTTTATTAGTTTGTAATTCATTTTATAAATATTCAGAACAGGCGGGTTCACAGTGTTCTGACTAAACAAATATTACAAGGGCATATGCAAAGACATTCACGAACTATTGACTATACTTCATAACTTGTAACAGCTAATTCAATTTAAATTTCAAGCAAAATGGATAAACATTAAGATTTTTATTTTGGTTTTATCTCTACAGCTTAAGCTTCACTACAGCACATTCTTTTGAACTCTTTTTAAACACTCTGTGCCTCGACAAAATTCAAAGCGTTTTCATGAGGTGATACTTTCTGTTAAACCGGTTTGGCCTGGATCTGCCGTTTCATTCAGTGCTCGAGCTGACATACATGAAAGGGTAACAATGAAGAGAGTGTTCTTTTCCCTCCCTTGTAACATTTGAACCGAACAATTGTCCATTTCTGAAAGACCACTTGTGTGGCCAAGATCATAGCAGTGCTTTTATATGACAGTTTTCAACTAGAAATATGTTCATTCTAGTTTCCTAGCAGGAAAACAACATAATATTTGAATGAAACTGACAAATTTCCATATGTTTGTTGAGGAGGCGTCAGCTTTTTTTACGCTACAAAGGAGAACTGTGCTAAGTACAGTGCATGACATGATGGAAAAACATTTTTCCGCTTACAGTCATGAACATACATTAAATGTAAACACATTAAATACATAAAATGTATGGAAACGATTAAAATGAACTATAAAACAGCATCATAATCATGACTGCTGAAGTCTGAGTGTAAGTTACAGTGCAAATCTTCATCTCGATCAGGTGCACTTCCTAAAGTGCCTCAAATTCTCTAAAAAAAAAGTCAGAATGGACTGAGATAATTATCAGTTTTGCATAATAGTAAGGTTCAGCCACTAACATATTCTTCATTTTATCACACATTCTTCATATTCATAGTGCTATGGCAGATATATGACTGTCCAAGTGCATGTAAGTCCTTCAATCAACACAAATTTTGCAGTTTCTAGGTGTCTCCTTATTCAAATGTATGTCTTGGGAGCATCTTCAGTCTCACTAGGTTCAGAAGCAGCCAGTGTCTGATCCAAACCATCATCAATCAGCTGGGACTTAGTCGACGCCCCCTCGTCCCGCTCAGACTCTGGCATCAGTTCGGCTCTGGCAAGCAGAGACTTTGTAGTTGACGGCCTGCTCTGGTGGGAGCCCAGAGAAGGAGGTCTTCCCTGATTCAAAGGAGCTTTCTGACTCCACTGGGACCTCACAGATGGAGCGCCACTCTGCAGTGACCTCACAGAGACGGGCCGCATCCTCTGGGAGCCCGCTCTGCTGGACCCTGCCTGCGAAGAGCGCACGATCAGGTACTTCACTGAACGGCCACTGTCGTCTTCTGTTTTGTCTTTGCAGATAGTGGTGCAGAGCATTCCTCCACCCAAAATGAGGACAATAGACGCACCCCAACCAACATAAATGGCACCACCGATCTCCCTTCGCTGCGAATCGGCCATCTGTGGGTTGTAAAATGCTCTCACCACAATGCCAGCCGACCAGGAGACGGGGATCAGGCAGAGAACTCCAGCGACAATCAACGTGACACCAGCTGCTGTGGCGATCCTGGCTTTGGATCTTTTGGATCGGTCCATGAAGATGGTGCACTTTCCTCCGATGAAGGCTAAAACAAGGCCCACCGCTCCCAAAAGGATCGCCATCACTGTGAGGGCCCGAGCCGCCTGCAGATCCGTGCCTAGCGCTAGCGTGGACTCATACGGTTTGCACTGCATTTGGCCTGTGCTTTGGATCACACAGCTCATCCAAATGCCCTCCCACATGATCTCTGAGGTTACAATGGTGGTTCCAATGAAGGCCGTCACACGCCACATTGGCATGATGCAGGACAGGAGGGCTCCCACCCATCCCAGCAGGGCCAAGGCGCTCGCTAACATGTGCATGCCTAGAGAAGCCATCTCGCTGAGGTTCGGTTATCCACGTCCACAGCTACACTAAGGCCTCTTCTCGCCAGTTAAAGCCTTTTTGGAGGCCTTGTGGTGTTTCCTTCTTCACTCATTCCTGTCTGCAGCGCAGCTTTCACTCTGGTGACAGTGATGAGGTGTTTATATGCTAAAAAGAGAGAGAATGACTGAGGAGGCGTGTGCAGTTAAACAGACCATGCCTCCATTAGTCCGCACGCTACCAGACTAACCAGATTCCTTCTTCTAGCCATGGACTATATGGGCGGGTCATGTAAAAAGAGATAGATGGGCTACTGTTTAGTTGGGAATTTGCATTAGACTTCTGAAAAGGGCTCAGGTGCGTTTAGATATCCAGATGCAGTTTCGATCTCACTATTTTGCTTTTCTGTTTGAGGTTTTAGAGATTTGTTTGAAGCTCTGACCACCAAGGCAGCCTCTATATCTGATGCCATAATCATTTTTATATGTTAAAAATTAAAATGAATGAAAATTCTGTCATCGTTTACTCACTCACTCACGTTTTAAACCTGTATGATGTTTCTGTGCAACATAATAAAAGATGTTTTGAAGAATGTTTGTAGCCAAACACTTTTGACTTCACTGATGTCTCTCAAAATATCGTTATTAATTCTAAGAAAGAAATTCATAGGGGTTTGGAATGATATAAGGGCGATTAAATGATTACAGACTTTATTTTTGGGTGAACTATCCCTTTTGAATGATTGATTGTGCTACTATACTGTCATTCATATATGATGCACATATAATGGAAGACAGGTGTGGTAACTAATTTAAAGCACTAAAAAGTAGATTTGTAAATTGTAAAAGTTAATGATTTGAATGCCAAACGGGATTGTTGTGACTGTGTTTACAGTCTTGCTACTCACCTGTTTGCTTACTATAGTTTTGAATGATTAAACATGATGAGTCACATAGCATTTATTTGAAATATTTTCCTAGAGGTCTTAAAACAACATTGAAAAGAATGCTAAATTCGCTCATTACATTTAGATTTTGCTGTCATCATACCGAAGGGTTGAAACACCAGTTGTGAGTCAGTCATAGTGTGGAAAATACCTACCAGAAAAAAATAAGGTCAGTTTCTTGCTGATGCAATCTTAAGCATGTGGGAATATACACACAGTCACAATGTTTGAGTGCAATAATCATTTTTATTAAGTATACATTGCTACATGTCATATGAATAATGGCTATAATATGAGGTGAAACTATGAAAATAAATGAGAATCAGTTTAATGACAAGATTTTTCAAATTAGCAACAAAAGTATGCTCAATCAATGATTGGCTTACATTTTAATAATGAAATGAAAAATATGTATTATTACACTACTGTTAAAAAAATTTGGGTTCAGTCATTTTTTGTTAAAGAAGTTAATACCTTTATTTAGCAACAAACGCTTTAAATCAATCAAAAGTGACAGCGAAGACATTTATAATGTTGCAAAAAAGGTTTCTGTTCTTTTGAACTTTCCTTTCATCAAAGAATCATGAATTTTATTTTCTATATTGCTAAAAAGTTATTAAAACAGAAAACAATATTTCACAACATTACAGTTTTTGATCAAATAAATGGAGGCTTGGTGAACATAAGAGACTTCTTTTAAAAAAACACCAACATACCGACCCCAAACATTTGAACACTGGTTTTGTATTATGTGAGCAATTACGTTGAATGAAAGACAAAACAAAAGTATTTTGAACACACAGTGCTATTTGTTGTCAAATTCAACATTATTTTTTGGGCTGAGACAAAACTCCTGGGGCAAGGAGGGTCTCAAGGATACAACAGTGATGGAAGCGACAAAACATTTCAGCAGCACTTTCAAAATACATACTTTGATTTGCAAATTTCTTCAATGAGTATACCATGAAAACATTTTTAACATGTGTAATGCATTTCTATTTTGTGGCAATGCACATTCCAATACTCGTCAAGAAATGCTTTTCATCTTAATTTCTTACTGTTGTGTAAATCAGTTCCTCTTCAGCTCACTACAATTTGTTAAATCAGTCCTACTTTTTATACATAAGCTTTGCTGCTTTCCACAGACCTGGCTTTTGAATACATGACATTATGGCGATCATCCTCACGCGGTGGGCACGAGCTGCAGAGGAGACCTCCACCCAGAAGAAGCAAACCTGCAGAAGCCCAGCCAACGTAAAGCGATTCCCCAAGCTCCCTCTTCTGACCTTCCACCAACAAAGGGTTGTAGAAGTCCCTGATTATGGTATTCGCAGTCCAGCAGACAGGGATGAGGACAAGAAGTCCAGCAATGTTGAAGATGATGCCACTGGCGATAGCAACCTTCACTTTAGATGCCTCGTCTTCCACAAAGTTGGTTCACTTTCCTCCTACGATGCTCAGGATGATTCCAAACACCCCAGCGATGATGGCGATGATCACCAAGGCTCTGGCGCCCTGCAGATCTTGAGGAAGAGCCAGCAGAGAGTCATAGACCTTACACTGCATCTGTCCTGTGCTCTGAACCACACAGTACATCCATAAACCTTCCCAAATGATCTGCGAGGTCACAATGTTGGCTCCAATGAAGGCAGACACCTTCCAGTTGGGCAAGCCACAGATGATGATGCTTCCCAAGAAGCCGACCGTAGCCAGGCAGATTCCCAAGATTTGACATCCCGTAGATGGCATGTTTCTTAACTTGTTGCCTTGAAGGAATTAATTAATACAGGAAGACGTTGCTGTTATCCCCAACGGCCGTTAGCTATGTCTATGTATTGTTATATGTAACACTCTCTTATAGGCAGTGGCGGAGCCAGGATGTTTTTATAGGGGTGGCCAGGGAGGGGCCAGCAAACAGTCTGGGGTGGCACAGAAATCTTCATTATTTCAATATAAAAATGTGTTTGACTATAAAATACTGGACTGTTTTAGTGCCTATAAAACACAACTGAATACAATTAATTTCTTCTTAACTGTAATTGAGATATTTGTGAATTAGATCAAGTAATACTGAGTGAATATGTGTCACGTTGCACACACACACTGGAGAATATGTTGACAAGACTTTATTTGCACCAAAGAACCAAGGGAGACGAACACAGGAAGATGTTCACACGAAGACGTACAACAGCGGACCGAGAACTTGGGACTGGGAACACATTTTATACACACACACAGGAGGAGGGGATGACGAGACACACCTGGGAGCAATAAAACCAAGTGAAACACCTGGGACAAATGAAATAAACTAATCAGGACAGGAACAGGAAACTAACCAAATAAGGGCATGGGAAGGCACATGGGGAGCAGGACACACACAAAACATGGAACAGAGTCTGACATAACGCCCCCCTCCAGAAGGCGTGTCCTCACGCCTTATAACATCCAATGGGGAGGGGGGGTGGGCACTCTGGAGGTCCCTCAGGACAGACACGGGACAGTGATGGATGACACCCACACACACACACATCCACATTTACACACCTGAACACTAAAACCAGTGGACATTTAAGTTTTTCTTATAAACTGTTGGCTATTACCTGGATCAGCATACATAGTGGTGGCCATCTTGAACTGAGTAAAAGACCCGAAAGGACTTTTGTCAGCCTTTTTATACCTTTGCTGTGTTGCATCATGGGGAGTGGGAGATACCAAGTATGAGTGGAAAGGGGTGGAAACTGTTTTATGAGTTCTTGTATTTGACTTTCTATAATTATTGCTAAATTGAAGTTATGGTATATTGTGCTATTGATATTTGGTGTATTGAAGGAAATAGTGTTATTCGATGTTTAATCCTTTTATGTGTTAATACTTCATATTATTGTCATGTGATATTACGGCTTCTGGGAAATGGTTGAACCCAAGTGTATAAATTCTCATGTAATGAAGCAGTCAGGGAGTCTTTAGCTGGGGTGCAGTGAGTACAGTAGCTATTGAGGAGTCAGTCCTCTGATTGAATCATTGTTATACGTGAACCAAGGTTGTTTGTTTTTGTTTGTTGGTTTTGTACTTTGAAGTAGGATTTTTATTGGTACCCTTAAGGGATTTTCCCCTATGGAATTTTTTCTATGTTTTGCACCTGTGAGCACTCTGCACTTCATTGGCTTGGGAAAAACGAAATAAAAAGAAAAGCCGGCATTCAGCATCCTCCATTCATTGTTTGAAGAACTCTAGATGGTACCTCTAGTGGGACTGTGACACTGTCCTAACCTCGGTTACCTGAGAGATGGGAACGAGACATGGCATTAACGCCTTGGGGACTCCCTTCCTTCCTAACCTACCTGAAATTTTATTGCACAACTCCAGTGAAGTTGCAACTCTCACTGGCCAATGCCAGCCAAGACGGCGAATAGGGGCGGGGCCCCCGCCGCTATATAATGCGCCGTATTGGCGGCATAAGCTAAGAATCTTCTGACTGAACCAACAGCACAGCAGACCCAATATGACAATTACAGGTATTTTAATAAAGGGGCTCACTATAGCTTTTTTGCTCAGTAAGCTTCTCAAAATTCCCAAATGCTTGCTCTCCAACATTGCATACTCATGGATGAGACATGCAGATAGTGATAAAAATGTGAAAAAGGCCGGAAGTCAACAGTAGACATAAATGCCAGAATATAAAACGAGTTATTTTATGCATTTAAATGGTTTAATTTTCGCATCTTTTC